GGTGAGCAAACAATTCCGTGCACCTTTACCCGTTAAATTACCAGTTGGTATCTGTGACTTGGGTGAGATGGCTCGGTGGTTAGAGCGCGAAGGTCCGTGGTTCGAACCCGACCTCTGCCTCTCGACTTGCCCTGTTCTAGGCTTGAGCAACCTGGCAGTATCCCAGCCCTCGTGCTACCTCCGGGTGGCATGGTAGCTAGGTACCGTAAGGCTTCTACAGCAGAACACGTGAGTACCAATAATTAGCCCAGGTATAAAAAATTAGAAAAAACTTGGCAATGTCTTGCTGCGAATACTTCGACTCCTCACTTCCGAAACTACTCCACTTACCAATGAATATACTAATGGCGTGGTTTTATCGAGAACCTCAAGGAAAATATGATGAATAGCCAACCTGGGTCATCTGGGAAGGCCTTCTCTATCCATGAAAATGCGGACAGCCGAATGATTTGTTTGTTATATTTCTCTTCTCCATATATATAAATTTCATACAATTAAAATTCCGCTATCATTTTCTGAGTCTATATGAACTAAGTGGAAATTTGTAATAAATGCAGTAATTGCTGAACCTCGGCGTTCCGGCTCCGTTTGCCACAAACTTTGGCAGGGAAGAAACGGACGAGTAAACCGCTCTGCGACAATCTTACTACTTCAACCTGAGGTGTTCGACCTTCTTACAAAGTACACCTCTGTCAATGGAAAAGAAGTCATGTCAGCTTTTGGCCATGCACACAACGGCCTTTGTTTTAGGTCTCCGGTTATAGAGGTCCTCGATCTGGTTCATCCAGTGAGCTCTTACACAGTAGAAGATAAAAGGTGGAAGATGAAAAGTTTGTTGTCCTTTGAGAATATCTGCCTGATACTCGGACCTGATCGTGTTGACGTGCGACTGGGTTGCATACTATTCGATATCTATCCAACATACGGCTTATTCCAATCAAATCACACTGCCAGAAACTCACAAACAGTCTGAAGTAAGCAACATAACCTGAAGTTCAATCACACCATCCATTCGTTTCACTTACAGCTGATAGAGTCCGGACTTTCGAGTGTCATTCTCCCCAGTTTTGAAAAATATTGACACGAGTTACTGAAAACTCCTCGACAGCCCAAGACCGGTTTCGTTCTTCTTGGAGCTTATCAG